TATTCATGAATCATGCTCAATGAACCCGAAGGAAAAGGTCGTTGGAGCCTGCTTACATAGCCCAGCGGTATCCATTTCAGGAAGTGAGATAGAGTATTGAGGGTTGTCTTGATCAGACCTTCTCTTACTGAGCTCTTATCGGCGACATAGCTTTGGAGCAGGAACATACCTGTCGAGGGCTATTTATAGGTGAACATTCACCGTGAAAATCAGTACATAGATCGAATATGCAAGCAAATTGTGAACTCATCGTTTGCTTCATCTTCAAGACTCGGCTCGACGTCATCGTTTCCGGACCAAAATCGAATACCTGATCATCACCAGAAGTCACACGGGTTACACATCTTAACGATGCAGTAGCTTAGCGGAACGCCGCGAAGGGATCCACGCAGTACGAGATTATGAATCGCCTCGTGTTGCAAACACAATGATGGCCCCACCTCTTCCGATAGCATCTGGAGAATCTTCAGATTGTTCTCACAGAGATTCTGAGAGCTCTTGGCAGAAGTACCTAGCATCTACCATGAGGGCTCGGGCAGGAGGAGCACGCAAGCTTACACAAGTCTGGTATGAAGGATTCCCATGCATTCAATCGCCACTCCTAATAACGAATATCCCGCTGAAACTAAAGTAACTAATACTACCTGCTTCACTAAACACACTAGAGTCTCGTTCAACTTCATGAGGAAATGACGAGTATTTTGATCGGCATCTCGTTGGGCCAGCTCGATATTCAGCGACACTACATACGACTTGATGCCTTCCTGACAGGACAAACGCCGTCGAATTCGAACAGTGAAGTAATCAGAGAGAGAATAGGAGGGGTCTAGACGGTAACACTCTTAGCCTGCGGACAACCGACACGCTTAAGATTCCAAGATTCGGAAGAGATCATGAGCACACTGGTAGCGACCGCATTGGCCATGGAGTCCTTGATGTAACCGAACCTACTTGATTCTCCTTTTCTATCGTATTCCACCGTGTATTGATAGCTTCCTTCAATATCTGCAGCGCCTAAGAAAACAATAGAATTTTGCCAGGCGCTCCGTGGATTGTAGCCATCAGATAGGTACTATGTCGGAGACGTAAACACTATAAAGGATACGCTATGAGCTGAACGTACATAAAACTTGGTGTTGGGATCCTGGCTCATGGACAGGATACCGTCTACCAGCCTCCACGATCCCTCGTTGGATTTCAAAGTCCTCAACACCTCATCTGAAATGCGCCTCTGTTCCTGCGTACCCGTGTACCTGATTGCAACCCCGATACGTCGAAGGGTCCTGCAGAGCGGCATTTTAACTACAACCAACCCGACCATTGTCATCATGACACATTGGCCTCAGCCTAGTGAGTAATGCATAACTACTCGCATTGTGAGCCTCTCATGGAATTCCTCGCATTGACGAACCACACTCGAGTAGCGACAGAATTCAACCTTCCGGCGTAACCAGTATATAACGAGATTCCTAACAGCTACTACGGGATTGGGAAGCTAGGCAAGCGGAGTCGTTATCAACATAATCACGAGTATAAAGTCGAGCTCGTACAAAACAGTTCATACTCGGGTTGATTCAATTCCCAGCATGTGCTCCAGATGACCAATTCCTCCGTTTTCATATTGCTCCCCAAAAA